ATTTCTAGAATTTTCTTCATTAATCTTTCTAGAATTTTCTTCCATTTTCTCGAACTTCTCTGCAAAATTTCTAGAATTTTCTTCATTAATCTTTCTAGAATTTTCTTCCAACTTCTCGAACTTCTCTTGAATATTTCTAGAATTTTCTTCATTTTCTCGTTGCAACACCTGTTGACCATTTTGGATTTGCTGGAGCAAATTGAGCATCGTTTCTTCCATTTTAGCTGCAGCAGATCTTGTTACAGGCATACACAAGCAGAAGCACTTAATTTAATCTTACTTTTAATTAATTTAATTAATTCCACACCTGACACCAATGTAACGTTATTTATAAATTCGGGTTCGATTTATATCAATATTTATTAAACAGAACTAAAACACTATAAAATCCGTACAATTTATATCGATTATTTATATCACTCACAAATTTATATCGATTATTTATATCACTCACACTTCGCAATTTATCTTTTCGTGCTCGATGTTTACGTACTCGTTCGGTAGTAGACTGCCGCGATGTTCGGTCCGCAACCATTTATACACGCAAGCAATGTAAGTCCAGTACATTCTCGAATACGCGTAGAAAATTCCAGAGAATTCTGGAGCATTTCCGTTACAATAATAATAATTGACTAGGATTAGAACCGGCAAGACCGAGAAAATCAAATAATAATAATAATAATAATAAAACACATTAAGGAAATATAGGAATAGTACTATGTAATTCATACTTACCAAAATTGATGGCCACAACAGCCAACGCTAACAAAAAAAAATCCTGCAAAATTAGCAATTTAAGTAAGTGGCGTTGTTTATTGGGTTTGTTTGGCTTTACGTTTGGGTTGAATACGAGTAGGTTGTGATAACGTGGTGTGTTTATGAGAAGAAAGAGTTTTGTGTTTTTTAGGTGTGCTACGACGTGTAACTTTATTGGGCGTATGTTGCGTTACTTGTATTTATTCTGTTTCTTGGTTCAAGCAGTTGTATTTGTGTGGTTGCTTGGGTTAAAGGTGGAACTGGAGATATTACAGTATGTCGTGGGTCATGTTGTGAGTCAAAAGTGCTGTTTAGGTTTTTGCGTTTAGGTTGAATACTAATGGGTTGTGATATTATTATTATTAAGCTTTGAAAAGCTTGTTTCTCTTGAGACATCCTACTACTATCAGCGGTAGAAAGGTCCGTAAAGCAATCTACAAATTAGGTAACGCTTCTTCCAAGTCTGATTCTAAAATGAAATCGAGAACGTCCTTTGGTGTTGACTGTTTCTTAAATTTCCTGGATATCGTCTACTCCATCAATGTTTTTACACTGATTATGGGTTAAAGGTTCTCCAATATTCACACAATGGTCAATATTTGGGTTGCTTTGGGTTCTAATGCATAAATGTTGTATAGAAACCCAACGAGCTGACCAAATCACTTTCATCCGAGGTGATTGCAGTACAGAGCTGGGCGATTTTGTAAACACTTTTTAGTATTCAAATACTTTGTAATTAAATACTTTTATGGAAGCAGTATTTGGATTTGTAACACTAATACTATCACAAATATTTAGTATTTGAATACTTCGCAAAGCATTTGGATACTTCGTAAAGTATTCGAATACATCGCATAATATTTGAATACTTAACTTTCCCATTTTACCAAAAATCGACTACTCCAAAATTTCTCGCGAAAACACTTCAATTAGTACTTTTTCGATCAGACTTCTCAATAAAAAGTTATAGACTAGAAACCAATTTCGAACGAAAATTCAAAGGGCCGTAACTTTTGAACTAGTAGCCCAATCTTGGAACTGTGTGAAATTGTGGATTCTACAGGCGACATTCAATAAGAAAATTTTTTTTTTGGTTCGATCTGAAACAATTTTTTTTCGGGCCTCAAAAAAATGCAGTGTGTAACCTTCCTTTTTTACCAAAAATCGACTACACCAAAATTACTCGGGAAAACACTTTTTCTTATTAATGTGGATGCGTAGAATCCAAAACAATTCGTACTTTTTCGATTACACCTCTCAATATAAACGACAAAGACAAAAAACAAATTTCGAAAAAAAATTCAAAGGGCTGTAACTTTTGATCTAGTAGCCCAATCTTCAAACTGTTTGAAATTATTGATTCTACGGGTCAAATTCTATAAGAAAATGTTTTTTTCCCGGTTGATCTCAGACAATTTTTTTCCGGCCTCAAAAAAAGGCAGTACTTTTAAGTTATTCAAATATTTGAGGACAATTTAGAAATGTTTAGGGAAAGTTTCCATTGTCACAAAATTAAATATAAAAATCCGATACAACTGAATACCGAACGATCCTGGAGTTTTGACTCGATAGTCTACGTAACTTAAAAACAATAGGGACCTACCTTATATCCTTAAGACCATGTGTACCAATTTTCAAAGCGATCGCACCTTTCTAAACAAACTATCATGCACACGGACAGACGGATGGACAAAAAGGATATCAAAATCGCTAGGATTAATTTCAGAAAGGCGTACGTATCATGTGCACGACGCTTTGAAAACTGGTACACGTATTCTTAAGGATATAACTGGTATAAGAAAGGTCCTGGTAGGTACCTCCTATATAATAATAATAATACGCTTTTACTCCCCTTAAATTTGTATATAACAATAGAAATAGAAAAAAGCTAACCCCATACAAAGTATAACTGGATTTTTTAAGTAGTATTCAGACTTTTATCTAGTATACTATTTTAAATTTTTAATGTACTTATTTGAGTGACAACTATTTGAATACTTTTTACTGTATTCGAACACTTTTCAAAGTAAGTTAATGAAATACTTTTCAAAGTATTCGAATACATTCTAAAGTATTTGAATACTTTTCAATGTATTTGTATCTAGTATTCGCTTGTGCTGGACGTTAAAGTACTTAGTATTCAAATACTTTTTGAAAGTATTCTGCTCAGCTCTGTTGCAGTAGTGTCTAATATTGCAAAATAAAAGCAAAATTTAAACTTCTTGTGTCACTCCGGGGTTTTGCCGTATGAATGGTAAATGGCGCAGCACTGCCTATCGTTGTGTTGTAAGGGGAAGAAAACGTGCGAAAGAAAGCAGTATAGCACCAAAACAGCATTTAGCAGAACTATTTACCACTAGATTTAATGAGTCGGAGTTGCACTGTATGTATAAAGCTCTTGAGTTTATACCTATATCTAAAATCGAGACCGAGTTGAATGATTGGCTCTGGAAGCGAAGTGAAAATAGGTTTTAGCGCCCGTCGTGCTGCCGGACCTTTCGTCATCCCCTCTTCTAATTCTTCGTTTTAGTGATTTTGTATTCATTTCAAGAATCGAATTGATTTTAATAATAATATTGGCATGGAAATTGAAAACCACGTTTTGGGCCATCGATTTATTAGAATCTTTTTTAGCGCATTTCCACAAAAATAAAAAAAAAATGCGCTATTGTGGCCACTTTGTCCGTCCGTCCGTCCGTCCGCTAACTTTGCGACGCTACTAGTTTTTTATCTTAAGAGCTATTGTTCTACTTTTTTCGCTATTTGGTTCGTTATGGTGTCGAGTCTTGTACCAAGGAAGGAATTTTTTCTGTACCGCTTACAAAAAAAGTTATTGTAAAAAAAAAAAAAAACCGTTTTTTACATGTTCCATAATTTTACACTTTTGCCGTTTATTAACGATCCTAGAGATCGTTTATAATTTTGCATTGCTATCTGTCGCCTGCCGGTTGGTCTCTCCGTCTGTTCCTTTGTCTGTCTGTCCATCGATCTGTCCGTGTGAACGATAACTTTGTTTAGAAATGTTCGATCGCTTTTACATCTCCGTTAGTTATGAACTGAATTGCATGAAATTCAATATGGGCATAGCTTTAACCATATAATACGCAATGCCAAAAGTTGAATCGAATCGATTCAAAATTCACAGTGCCCTTTTCGCATCTCGACCATTTATAAACCGAATTGCAAACTTTTTTACTTATAAAAGTATTTGAATGAAATTTGATACATAGGCACTTGGAATAAAGGAAAATCAAACGCCAATTTCAAAATTTGGTTTTGCGCATGCGCAGTGCCAACTTTTTTATTTATGGAAGAATTTAAACGAAATTTGATACAGAAGCACTTCGAATAAAGGAAAATCAAACGCCAATTTCAAAATTTGGTTTTGCGCATGCGCAGTGCCAACTTTTTTATTTATGGAAGAATTTAAACGAAATTTGATACATAGGCACTTGGGATAAAGGAAAATCAAACGCCAATTTCAAAATTTGGTTTTGCGCATGCGCAGTGCCAACTTTTTTATTTATGGAAGAATTTAAACGAAATTTGATACATAGGCACTTGAATAAAGGAAAATCAAACGCCAATTTCAAAATTTGGTTTTGCGCATGCGCAGTGCCAACTTTTTTATTTATGGAAGAATTTAAACGAAATTTGATACATAGGCACTTGGGATAAAGGAAAATCAAACGCCAATTTCAAAATTTTATTTTGCGCATGCGCCGTGCCAACTTTTTTATCTATGGAACTATTTAAGTGAAATTTGATACTTAGGCGCTTGGAACAAAGGAAAATCTAACATTAGTTTTAAAATTTAGGTTTGCGCATGCGCAGTTCCAACTTTCTTATTTAGAAAGCATTGAAATGAAATTCTTCTCATAAACTGAAATTGAAGTAGCACGTCAACAATGGATTGCCCATGTGCAACGCTATCTTTCATATTTGTGGGCGGATTTTTACGATTTTAACAGAAGTTGCATCTTACAAATGGGAAATGAATGCAAGTGGAAATGCGCTTTATGTAAATCGTTTACGATTACTTTTTAACTTGTTTGATTCTCTATACCATTCAAATTTTTATATGCTTTCAGTGCAAAATTTACATGCTGAAATGAATAGGGCGTGTCATCTCTTTCCTAAAAAAGAAAAAAAATGGATAATGTATGTAGATAAACTAACAATAACATTGTTTGCTACCAAGCAGGATGAATGTTTACAGATCATAAAATTGTAAATTAGTACAAAGTACACCTTAATCAAAATCTAAATATCATTCGTGTATCTCCGCATGTAGCAAGTGGTTCTACGTGTCTATATCGGTTGGCATATAATAAAAAAGGCGATCGCTTATTTAAGGTATGTACAATGTTCGTAGTAATATTGATTATTGTCATTGTTAATAAATGCGAAAGCACTTGTTAAAATAGTCTTTTCTAAAGATAGTAAAAAAAACAGTGAACGTACCTATTTGCACTGGTTACATTATCATTTCTTAGTAAATAATTAATCTATTTTTAGCCATCTTTCTGTAGAAGTGTAGAGATGGACTCATCTCGTATTTGGGATGTAGACAAATAAAGTTTGGGAAAGACTAATACATCTATTACTTGTTCTTTTGTCGTTGCATTAGAAACTTAACTACACTTGCTCAAATAGTGTGACCTAAAATGAAATTATTTGCGTTGGTATAATCCCAAATTCAAAATTCAAGTAACCACTAGCAGCGAAGAAATGTGTGTTTGGCCACAATTGTAATTGCTATACGATTTTTTGGTTTTTTCTACCACGTAAGCAGGATGTAAAAGTTCAATTTCGTACAGACCGGAATTTTGTTTCACATCCACGTTTAGTTGTGCAAGAATTTTGGTAACATTTTTGCAAATCGGTCCCACCCAATTTTTGTCTCCTGTGTGTGTATTATGTGTAAAGTTCATCTGCTGTTGCAGCGTTTGGAACCGATTTTTCTTGTCCGACACATACCTGCAAGCAAATGCCTCATATAGTAGGTTACCTATCAGATATAGAGAGGTTTAACAGAGACCAGAAAAACCCACAAACAATTATTAACAGCAATTTTTTCGTTCGTACATGCATTTTCTCTGTAACAATTCATATAGAAATGCGGTTTTTATGTTGTGTTCAGCAAATCCTTTGCAGATTTTAGACCGCCACCCCGCCAGTATTAAAATGGACCGCGTTATCTTTGTTAACTAATTTTAATTAGGCCGGTATTAGACTATAAAAGATATTTGACAAAGATCTTTTATAAGATATATTTTATATAATATTTGACAGTGTAATATTACTTCTTTTATATATACATATCAAAATATATTTTACAAGAAGTAATAACAGACGATTACATTTGATAAAATATTAATTTGTTAATCTTTTATAAAACATATTTTATCCAATCTCTGATAGTGTAATACCGGTCTTAGAGCCCAAAGACTGTCACGTTTATACGAAATAGGGCCAGTTGTACTATGATAGTTCAACGTCAGCTCATTTGACTGTCATAATTAATAAATTTTACTGGACAACTATGGTTTTTTAATTTGTTTCGACTAAAATTTGAATTTGAAACAGAATGCCTTAGAAAAAACATGATAGTTGCTGTCAAACGTCGATTGTTAATAATGATACGTAATGGTACAGCGACTGAATAGTCCCAGCCATTTTTATGCATAAGAAAAATAAGTTGCACGGCATTTTGCCGTTAAATTGAAAGCTGTGTTAAAATCATATTTACTATTCAGAAAATACCTACTTTATCTTTAAAAAGTGTTAAAAATGTCATCGTTCAGATCCCAAATGTTTGTAGTTTTCTTGTAAATTAAAAAAATTACTACAATAAAATTATTTCCCAGTGGTCAGGTTTTATAATCAATTTCTTTGGAAAAACGACCAATTGTTGCAGTTTTGTTATTTAAGAAACTTCTGATGCGCTTAAATATTATTTAAGTAATCGCGGAATATTAGAATTATGATGTAAGAAAATGATAAAAAGTGGGGTACCTACATCAGACTAAAAGAACCCCTTTATTTTTCTGCGTATCTATTTACATCATTAAAAATTTTAATATCAATTCAGAAGTGCCATTTTACCATGCTGTGTTCACTTACCTTGTTTTCACAAATGCAGTTTAGTTGATTTTCTACTAGTGTAGGTACATTTAGTTAAAATCAGCATGAATTAAATAATTTTTTGTTTTATCTGTGCTGAATAAGTTATCCTCATTGACTCTTAACATTACATTTATTTTTAGATGATTGTCAGGATGATCAACCGCTTTTTGATACTTTTTCTTACAATCGAGAGAGTAGCGCATCTTCAAATAATGGAACGGCAGCTATTATCACCGCTCGACGAATACGCATGCGTCGCCAGTTTAAAGTTTTACTTGAAAACGGAATTGCTTATGGAATTTTTCACAAAACTGGCCCTGAATGAAACTATCTGCCCAATAAGTAATTGTTCTGTGACGTTAGCTGATGTAACGGATGCAGCTGAATTATCCAAGCTGTCTACCAATGTTTTAGCAAAGGGCAGCGAAAGTCTCAATTTAAATGACACTCGCCTGTACGAAGCTGTTATGAAATGTAACATGACAGTGAAGTCTACCTTATACTACTTTCAATTATTTGATATGACTTTTTCTGAAATTTACAACAAGTTTGTAAACAGTCTGACGGCTCCAGAAGAAATGGTGCAAAGTTCCTTAAAAGCGATTAATGTCAGTCTACCCGACTTTATGGCAGCTGTGGCTTATGGAAACGATAAGAACCGCCTTACAATTTTATCTAAGGGTAACTACTCTTTAAATAATGTCAATGCAATTTTGAATATAACAAGAAAAAATTTTACCGAAATAATAAGCTGTATACCGCTGAACAAGATTTTACAGAACTTGAGTAAAGTAAACTCCACGAAACTGCAAAATTTCGTTATCGATGCTGGAATTACAAGTAACAAATCAATTAGTTTCTTCAAACAATTTAATATATCACTTACTACTTTCTTAAAACGTCAACAGTTTGCCGATATTGTGGATGATATATATAAATCGCTCAATAAGGAGGAAGCTTTAGGAGTCTTTGTAGCGAGACAAGTGGCTATAACTGTGAAGAGAGCGATTACTGTAGATTCTTTCTTAAGAAACGCCAGTGATTTTCTAGGAAATTACTCCCAATTATTTTTAGAGAGTGTAGCAAATCCTTTGAATAAATATCAAGTGAAGAGAATTGCAGTCTCCTCCAATCACTATTCAAGAGAAGTTGCGCACATATACAGCGCTACTCCGTTTCTTGGGAAGTTGGTCAACATTTCTTCGACTCAAAATCTATCCAGGTTGACCAATTGCACATACGTATCCAAATTGCCTGGAGGTGGCCTATTCGTTGAAAACATAACTGATGCCCATGTGGACAAAGTAACCTTTACCGCTATTAAATCGAGCAAGACCACCTACAATTTAGGAAGCCCCTTATTTTGCAAGAGCTTATTGTATGGATTAGCTATTGAAAATTATCCGAAGTATATCAAGTTTACATCTTTCGAGGTCAATAGTACCATTAAACCCATCCTGCCTGGTCCTAATGAAGTGTCAACCACTCCTTCAGCAACTACCAAATCATCGGAAAGCTCAAGCAACAGTAACCGAATTATTTTAAGCCTGATATTGATAACTACAAGTATTTTACAGTTGTAATGTTATAGCAGTTTAGAAATTTTATTAGTGTATTCCAGTATTGCAAATAGTTTGGTTCCGGTGAACTTTTACTGTAATGAGTATATAATGAGATGTATAATTATTCTAATAGTTGTTTTTCTCTTAACTGTGTATATCGTGTATGCAAAAATATATGATTTGTTTTTCGAGTGTGTCGTAGATATAGGTATATATTTTTCTACCACTGCACCAATCAGGTCGCCTACATAGAAGAAAGTACTATTTTGCATCGAATCTGAAATGAAAATATTGATTTAAATATTACTCATAAACGGAAGGATCGACCGAAAACGGTACAAAGTAGCACTCAAAAACATACAAGTTAAAAGGTTACAGAAGTAGGTAGCTTGTATGTTTTTGGGTTCGATTTTATACAGTTTTCGGTCGACTCATTCGTGCGTGAGTTTCGTCGGCATAGGTTAATTCAAATTGTTTAAAACCTTACATTTTAGGGCCTGATGACTTGTAGCCGCAACATGTCGTCTTTAATATACGTCATTGTCTGTTACTAAATTCAAACTTTATATAGGGAAGGTTTTGTGAACTTTCGCTCCGGTTTATCATTTTACCTCATTTCGAGCATCACAAGAGAATGGATATACCCAATAAACAAATATGGGGTACCCTTTAAGAGTATTTATTTATTTATTTATTTTATTATTTTTTTTTATTGTGCTAACGTGTGAAGCGAAAGAAAAATATGTGACCATTTACCAAAGAGGCCAGGGTCAGTAACGTTAATATGCTGCAGGGCAGTTACCACTGGCAAGGGGCGGATATGTCAAGATTATTTTGTATTCATTCGATATTTTCATGAGAATCTCAAATTATGATTCTTTAACATAAAGTTAGTTTGTTAATCAAAATTCTCTGTTGGTGTATATTCGCAGTTGAGAATTATTTTGGTCACAGGTGGTCATAGACTAACATGTTGAAGGGTTTGTATGACATGAATAGATTGGTATGCGCATTTTTCATAAATTGATTTTTTTGTCAAGGTGCTTCTATAAATTTGAGTTTGCAGTAATAGTAGATGTATAGGTACTGATTCCAACTTCGTCTCTTCCTCAAGTGCGACCGGTGTAGGTACCTACCTATATGTTTTTAATGCATTGTGGTTATCCATAGTTGGTAGTTTTGGAAAGATCGAACTAGGGTCTTTTTATCACCAGCGACTACGTTAATTAATACCAAAATCAAATCACGGACTTAGTCGTGTCCATTCTACAGTCATACAATAATAAAAATTATGTGTGGGTGTGGAGTGTGTGTGTGTAATGTGTGGTTTTCTGTGATTTGTATTTTCAAAGCTGCCTTAATACCTTTTTGTGGCAGTCGATCCTTTAGATGTAAATCGTTCTTCCTACATTAATTATATATAATAAAAAATAAATCAGGAATAAATTAACTAAGTGTAGTGTTTCTCTAGGGCGGAGACGGACTACGAAATAAATGCTACGTGAATTTTTCATAAATGCTACGAAACTTTGTTACTTAAGCTGAGCATCGGAGCAGTAGTTACATAGTCAACTGGTAGCATTGCGTGAAAGGTCATAGACGAGCCTAAATCGATCTCTATGGGAGTAGAGCAATCAGACACTGACTCTTAGCTTCTCCGTCCAGTAAAGAAATAGTTTTTGAGAATATTTACTGAATATACCTTGTTCTTCTACATCTTAATAGAATTATAATAAGTAGCACTTCTACGCATGTTGCAGGTTGTTAGAAAGCGAAATTACAAGAGTTAGCAAAATGGTTTCATGTAAAGCCCAGCATGAATTTGCTGGATTGAACATTACAGAAAATTTCCTCTTGGTAGCGCCCTCTTCCATTTCAGAAAGTCTCAAAGCAGGAATCACGTCGGAGATGAATTTGCGGTAAGGCTGAAGTTCAGTGAATATCAAGAATGTTTCTCCATTGCTTTCTTGTTGAGAAGAAAATAAACCAACTTGAGTGTTATTGCATACCAAGGGTCCCCCGGAGTGTTGCTTTGGTATTACACCATGCGATAGCTGTGCACAGATTTGCCCGTACGAGTAAACCAGGGTGTAATTAAACCATTGCTTACAATTGTTTATATCTTTAACAAGCACACGAACCTTTACTAAGGGTGCAGCTTCACGGTTGAACCGGTACGGCATAGACACGTTCCAGTAGACGAATGAACAGTTACTGTCTGAAATTAAATGGGTGCTAGCTAATGTTATTGGAAAGATGTAAGAGTTGACTAGAAACTCTGTATCGGTGGCCATTAAAGCGATATCATTTGCGACGGTGTAGTTCACATCTTTGTATTCCGAGTGTGATATTACCATATTTATCTCTCTTTTGGGCGATACAGAAACGGCTGCCAAATTATGGACTCTTGCGACCATAAAGGGCCAACTACCATTAGCATAAACACTTAATTTTTTGTAACACGTGTTGGATGTCAAAACCCATTTTGGTTTAATTAAAGTCCCACCACAGACCATAATCTCCACTTCCTTGACCCGTTGGTAGATCGCCATCATATATGGATAGTTATTCACACAATCGCCTTTTGACAGAAAAATGCACAGCAAAATTACATGTCCTACAAACATACTTACAGAAACTTTGACGTTTTAAATTTCACTTACGACGTATAGTAGTTATGATGTATTTATACACACGTCATGATTTTACTCCAGTAATTAGCTATAGAAATTGAAATGTTGAAATGCATTATTCGTTACAAAGAAACCCCACTCCCAAGTCTAAATTCATCTCCTGCACGATTTGTCCCTGAAAAATTATTTCCCGCGAAAATATTTGATTGTAAAATTAGAAGCAAGGGATTGATTTTAAGAAAACTCTTGAAATAGTTATTAAGAAAGTCGGCATGGTAACGATGTCGATGACATAGTAGTAGTGACTAGTGACTATACCTCATACCTCCTGGTAGCACGTGACGGTGTGGTATAGTTCCCGTGGGTGAATTTTCCTTGGGGGACGCGTACATTGTGAATTTGAACTTTCCTGGAAGTCAACGTTTTTTGTTCAGTTTCACATAGAAAAATATGTTCCCCACTTGCTACAAAATAACAAGGAATACCTATTCTTAAAAACGAAAGAAAGTCAATTCTAATCTGCTGTTTAAACTACAAACCAAAATTGATTATAAACAATAATAATAACAAAATTTATTACCTGTAAGTAAAGTACAGTGAAACTAACAAGCTTTGGTACGATACAGAGCGATTAACGCGGAACAAAAATGAAATCGTGTTTCCTGCGTCTGTTTGCTTGTCCACCCTCCGTTAACACGAGATATCTTGAGAATGGACGAAATGTTGGTAAAATGGATTAGATTAGAAATAATAGCAATTATAAATTATTTTTCAGTTGCCACTAATTTAACTCGTCACGAAAATAAATATTTATTGATATGCTTATCAGTTTCATTAATAACCCGCGATGAGCGAATAGCCTTGTTAGTAGAAGATAATAGTTCCCTGCGAAGACAACACGTCAATTATGTGGTTTAAGGTTTGGTTTTGTTTTTGTGCGTGCGCGTGTTTAATCACTGTATGCTATTCACAGTCGTGTAGTGACGGGGCTCGTCCTATGTACCCCCTTTATGGTTCAGTGAATTGGGTATGTGAGGATATTACAGACCATTTTCCAACTTCAAAAGCAAACATCAACAGCATTACTTGTTTGAAATGCAACATTCCCGTGTTAGATGGTAACTTTATCCCTTCAAATTTTCGGGGAGCGACGTTTAATTTAAGCTACAGCCACGTGAAGAAAATCCAAGAGGACGCTTTTAAATCGTTTACAAACACTACTCATAAATTTATCTTTGATAATAATGAGATTAATTACATAGGCAAAAAGGTCTTTAGCAATTTTTCACAGCTTGACGAAATTAATCTTAGGAATAATAAAATATCAAGGCTGGTTGCGGGAGTGTTTGATAAAACTAATGTGACTTTATTAGATTTATCCCAAAATCATGTCACAGACCTTACCTCCATGTTAAACGGGCTAAAAGTCTCCATGTTAAATTTATCATCAAATGGAATTAAAGAACTTGAAGTGAGTGCTTTAGACGGAGTCGTAATTTGGACAGGTAGACAATGGTCCCCCAATAAACAATCGCTGGACTTATCTAATAATTTCTTAACTTTGATTAAACCAAACACGTTTAAGTTCTCAAAGGAGGATAATACTCTACGCATCTTGCATTTGCAAAAAAATATGTTGACGGTCATAGAAAACGACACTTTTGCGCAGTTAAATTATCTTTGGCATTTATCTTTGGAGCGAAATTCTATTTCACAGTTATACAGGGATTCATTTAGGGGATTGTCAAGCTTACGTGTTTTGAACATTGCGAATAATCTTTTAATGGATATACCATATGGAATATTCGGCAACACAAGATCACTTGAACAGTTAGATCTATCCCAAAATCGTTTAACGACCTTATCAAGAAGTACATTTACTGGTTTGAGCAGCCTAACAAAATTAAATATATCGCACAACTACTTCCAAACAATCGAGGACTCGCATTTATTGCCGTTAGGAAAGCTGTCCTCATTGGACGTTAGTGACACAAGGCTTCACAAGTTCAACTTAAAACAAATAATGGATCATCACTTTGGATTATACACTTTAGTCATTAATGATAACTTTTGGACTTGCTCAAATTTGTTACAAATGTATAAGCTAATAAATCGAAAACGAATGACTTTTAGTTATCCGTCCAGATACTTCGACGTTCCAAATCTGCATGGAGTTGCGTGTTCTCGACAAGAATTGGACTCTTACGATAACCTGTCGTTTGAAAACTTTTTAAGCATAATTTCACAAGATCCAATTATTGAAGACATTTTTGATGATCACCTCACCAACGATAGTGAAATGAGTGTAAATACCAATATGATGCAAGATGTGAATAGGCTAAGTATTATGTTAACAATTGTAACTGTTATCTGCGTAATATTATTTGTATTTTGTGTTGTACAATACCTTTTTGCATTTTTACGCTACGGGAATTTTGTTAAATCTGACAAATTTTCCTTTCTATATGCACAGAATCAAGATAAAGTGGAACTTTTACCTTAATTTCCGACGTGAAATTAATTTTTAAGAATAAAATGATAAAGTAAATGTATATTTTTGGCCTAGCGTATTTTCTATATCGGGTGATCAAAAAGAACTGCAGACAGTTTAAATTGGGCGCTTTAAGTTTTTAATATTTTTTACTTAAGGAATTGGCAAACATGTTTAGAAGGTAGTTTATGTATGCATTAGTGATTAAATTCATCCACCACTACTTTTACATAAATGACATTTGGTATGTTACCAACGTTATAAATGTTTAGTTTTACGGAAAATTCAAATTGTCCGCACTACTTTTCGATCACAATTTCATTGGAAGTTATCTCCTTAATGTATATTTAAATTAACACATCAATTACTTATTGTCCGAACGGACAGATTGTAAGCATAAATGAGTAATAAAAAAGTAAAATACTAATCTGTGCTATTACCTACTAACGTTTCAGTTTATTAGCATTTTCCAGTATAAATTGACCGAAGCCTGGTACAAAATCCTTAGCAAAAATGTTGATCGATAGCGCTGTCCAGTACTTTGGAGAACCGACGTATGTGTGAACGAACAGGGTGTCCCAAAACAGTTCCTCCGCCTATTTAGGAAAATGCGTTAAAATCTAGATTTATATTCTTCACTATATTTAATTATTTATTATTACCCAACCTACGTCATTACTACTGACAAAATTTTCTGCGTACACGGTTATCAACTGATGTCAAGTTCACTGATTACGGAAACTATTTACAGGAATAACACAGAGAAATAAAGGTCTTGGGCAAAACTATAGTGACCGGCGGATTATTGAAATTTGCAAGTTACTTTGTGACGATGATTATGCAGCCCTAAAGGTCGCGATATATTTGCAAAAAAACCCAAAAAAACATGAAAATTGATGATTTTCGCCTCCTGTTATGAATTTTCTAGGCTAAGAGGTAAGACCTAGGCTAACTTCTCAGTATCTACCTTGTATGAAATTTCACGAGAAATATTTTCAGCAAAAAAATTTCATCTACTTAGACCTCATAAATCGCGAGATATCAGCCAAAAAGGGCGAAAACACGGTCTCTGGGGGTGGTGGGGTGGCTGGCGCCTTTAGCACAGGGTTTGGGGGGTGGGATTTTTAATATGTTGTTTCTGACACCTAACTGAACATATTCCACCATTTTTCTTGTCCACCCCAAAATGTCCAGTTAGATGTCTTTATCGCCTAGACTAGAACCATTGAATAACAAATTTCTCACTCAACGTCAATTTTATGTCATCTCTTTTTGGCCGAGATTATGTTGGTAGAGTAAAATCTTTATTCACAAATACAATGTGTTTATTATCGCCGATGTAATTTTTTTCATTAACGAGTGACGTAAAAATCCAATATGGCATCCATAAGAAATAAAAAATTGATATGATTTACTCGAAACCCACGAGTCGTAACAATTTTAATGTACCACCACCAAAAAGCCGAGAAAAAGTGACTAATGGTTTGCTACAATTATTTCTTAATATCTTTGAAAATATATAAATGCCAGCGCATTTTAAAAAATGACATTTTTCGATTTTTGGGCCATAACTTTGTTATTTGTAGAGCTACAAGAAACTTTGAAAAGGAAAATTAATCAGGATAAAATTCTGTATATCGTTGTCCATTTAAGCGACTTTGTATCTACATATTAGGTTTACGAGATCCCCATAGCATAATGAAGATTAAAAACTGCATGCAGTGCATAACATTACATGCAGAGATTTCATTTTAAAACGAACTGAACTAAGGACTAAGGTAAACATTCCGTTAAATTTCTACCTAGCTATTTCAATGAACGTATTTTTGTAATTTTTGGCTTTTTTAAACTAATAATAATTATAACTAATTGGTTGTTCGTTTCGAAATAAAAGCTCTGTATCACAGATTATCTTATACTTATACCATTGAATTTATAACTTCAATGCTTATACTAGGTATACTATTAGATAAGGTAATTAGTATCGCAAGCATTTTTAACAACTTGTAGGTATAGTTGGATATGACATTCACTGACCCCCTATTAACGCAGCATTCAGGTATATTCAGTATATGCGGTGCACGAAATGTAAATCGACACAATTCAGTATTGATTGAGCATAACTGAAAAAGCTTCTGCAAGCTTCTTTTGCCTATAGAAATTCGTAGGTATATGATGCCCTAATATAAATTGTTAGTTCCATGAAAACATGGCTTCCTAGAATTAGTATTTTTTATTAAAAGATGTCTCTATTATTACAGTACGCAATCGAACACACCTTTTTCACATAAGCTCACGCAAGCGCCACATTGGCTTCAGTTCGCCAGGTTGAGGACGCTTTCTGAGCTTTAGTGCGTCGTTTTTACGCTAACCTACGCGCTGTATTTTCGTTGACCGAGAAATCCGGGTCATCCCATGTAAGTTTTGTGTGTAAAATATGAGCTTGATTCTTGTATCGGCCAGCTTTAGATCAATCCTACATTTTAATATTTATATTTGCGAAGATAGTTGCTAAAGAAATGATGACAATAATAATAGTAACCTGTGCACATCCAACTTTAATTCATTTCCTACTGTATCTTTGGTTACCCGTAAATTTCGATCACTGTCAAGCGATGGATACTTATTTTCTATATGTCTCTGTCAAGTGATTACAGATAATAAAACGGACGTGAACTGCTCCAATTTAGTTTACACGGTTCTTCTATTTGTAATTCATATGCAATGGTTATTATAGACGAATTTAATTCAACTTTATCTTACACAATGTATAATTACCGGGTGCAATTCCCAGTAACTTACCATTTCATGCAATCTTTTTATATTATGAGAGCAGTTCCAAGGATATTATTGTATTTTTATAGCAAATACCTAACCATTGAAAGCCATTCTCTCTACATAGGTAAGTATATAAAAGTAATTGACGTTATGGGTATGAAGTTTGGTTCTGAATCCGCCCTGCTTTATTTATATGCTTTTTTGATTGTTTCATAGCTCATTTATTTTTTATAGTGTTTCAGTTGCAATACATTTTTGTGTTTTTCTCTAATGGAAATTTCAAAATTAATAGATAGATACCGAATAGAAAACATAGCAGGTACCTAGGCGTATTGTCATTAGAAATATAAAACGAAACTTCATCTGTACCTAAGCCTATAGTAAATCTTTCCCTTCTCCCACAGAAAAGCGGGTTGGCAGAGGATTCATATTATCTTATCCCGATATTTTACTTTGGAAAGCTCTTAGACTTCTGTAAAGCATTTCGATGGATGTTGTAATTCTTCTAATTGTACGTTGATTTGATTGGAATTCAATCTTGAGCCGCAAGGATACGCCGTCACTAGGGTCTCACGAGTAATTGAACCGTTTGGTTTCATCCAGAAACTATTTCTTTATGATTTGATACTGCCATTGCTTATGCCTTTATATAAATACTGATATTACGATGTATGCCTAGTTATAGTAAATGTCCTAAGTATGGTAAATATGGAACGCTGCTCTTGATCAATCTGTGATGCGACACAAATTAATCGTTTAAAGATACTATCTATGTATTACCAATGTACACTTAATTATGGTGACACATTACACTTGACAAATGTTTTAAACATGTTAGATGAAATTGAATGTTTCACGCACTATAACAAATCGTCTCCTCTGCAACCTAGTGGTCTTGAATTTACTGAATATTTATTTGGTGATTTATATTAGATATTTCGTGTGCCCTTACTTTAAACAATCAATCAATACTGGGACAATGAACTATGAAATGTTTATACATAACACGTTGGTCGATACTCTTACAATTAGTGTAATTGTATGTAATAGTTGAGTTTTTGGTCTTTTTGTAATACTAATGCTAAGTTTGCATATCATCTACTATCTGTGTTAGTAAATCCCTTTTATTGGACTGAAATAATATGTTTCGTGGTATATGAAAAGCATTGAGTGTCGATAGAGATTAAAGGGCGTTCGCAGTGACAAAACTTGACCTTTAAATTAGAATGGCATAGCATAGTGGAACGAATTGTGCAGTGGTCTTGGTCATATGAAATTAGTAGGCAGTTCGCGTGCTATTAAGTAAATTTCCTTTTCAGTTTTGTGTCCCCTATCATAAGTCCGATCTCAACTTGTTGAATACACCTTGCTAGTTTCGTTTCGTTTTAATTTTCTAAATGTAGTGTTATTCCGTTTTTCGTTAATAGTAGGCTGGGGCGCCCCACATTAGCACATTTTTCCTATTTCCGATTTAACATTTATCCGTTACTAAAGAACTCCGAGATCTGAATGTTGTGTAGGGAAAACAATTAGGCATTTCTAGTAGAAACACTTGGCTGTTTGCAAAACGTAGTGGCTAAAGAGTTTACCTTGTTATATCTGGGATTAAACATAGTACCTATAAGCCGTCGATAAAGTTGTAATAAGGGTCTTGTTAATTTATTTACGTCCCTGATGATCGACAAAGACTATGGAACGTTATTAATTTATTACTAATAGAAACTTATTGATTTTATACTCTTCACCTAAAAGCAAAGAATAACTAAAAAAATGCAGCAGCGTTTGTGTTGAAATACAATTAATGCCATCCACTAGGATTTTATATAATAATCACATTCAGTGTAAACGTCGTATCCAGTGGCGTAGCGTAGAGGGGCGGAGGGGCGATTCGCCCCGGGCCGCAGTGGAACGGCTATATGAAGACACCGAGACATTGCAATATTTTACAAAATATTTATATGTTTACATTAAATATTATTACTTAAAACTTAAATTAATAGCATGGAAACATTAATAGTAGAAAAGTATGTATACATATAATATATAATATTAACTAATTTGGTAGGTTTCATAATTTATCTATATCAATTTTTCTAGGACCCTAATCACTATAAATTGCAATCTGTAGCAAAGTTTAGTGACAAATTTGGTTCTCTTTTTTTTAGTTTTAATTGTTTAAATCACTGCACTGAAATTTGTAATAGCTGCACTTGTAGCAAACATTTTACGATTTAGGATATCTACTAAAATCTCAAAAATTACAATAAGATAATAATAATTGGTCTTTTTTCTAAATATTTCTGCGAGTTAGGTAGTAAAAATGTAAACAGAATTTTATCCTCATGTCTCTGACCTTACACTAAACCGTTCCACTGTGCGGGCGCCACTTTAGTAGGGGCGGCAGCGTCATACCAGCCAATAATATCCTGGGGCGCTTTTGAAAATACATTTAAATTGTGATTTTGTAAGCAACGACGATGACCATCGACGACGGACTTGAAGATGCTTTAGCTGACAAAAACTGAGGCGGAAATACCTACATGACAAAGAGACTTCTGGTAGGCATACACACAAAAGTTTAAACTTCTGTTCTCAATACTACAATCAGTGTTGGGTATAACCTTTTTACCGTATTACAAAAAACTTGAAAAAGTGCGCTGTTTTCCGGCTGTCTGTCTTTATTGTAGGGTGTGTTGTTCATCTGGTACATTGATCATATAGGTATCAAACGAAAGCTTATAGACATAATGTCAAAAGGTGAACCTCTAAACAATCGCTCGTTTTAAAAGTACTGAAATCTAGGATAGAATAAGAATTTGAACTCTTTTTTTAAATCAACTATAGGGGAACTCAAACTGTTCACCAGCTCCTAAAGTATAGGGCGGCAAACCTTAATCGCGCCCAGGGCGCCAACGAGCTACGCTACGCCACTAGTCGTATCCTTAGTTATTTATTAAAATTAAGACTTATATAAGAGTGAATCACTTTCCCCCGTGGAGTCTGTAGTAAATAATTAAAAGAATAGGTTTCCAACAAATTGGAGGGAAGAGAGATAACACGAACCACTTTACCTAGTTCTGAGTTGAAAGTACTGTGATGTACCAACGCATTAATGATGAATATTATTATATGCTGAAACAAATTTAGATAACGTTTTACAAGATTATGTTATCCAATCTCAAGCACTCTGGACATGCCTTATAAATATGGCTACAAGTACCTAATTGACCAACATGCATACGAAATGGGATTTGTTATCATTATAGTAACTGTAACGTAATTTTTATTAAAAAGATAACAATAATCAATCGACTGGGCAATTAAAAATTTGTGTTACGTAGTCACCTTCATTTTGTAATAATGTGAACCATTGTATGTATATATTGTATAATAAACCCTAAGTTAAAATAACCTTGTATAACACCTGAACAGGTAAAGTATGAGAATGAAAACTATGTATTGTAAAAAATGCTCAAAACGTCCACCATTATTTTAACGACAACATTTCGCTCTGCGCTTCATATTATCCAACACTTGTTCTAGCATTTTAGATATAATTCTTCCAAGTCCATCAGTGACTGCTTCTCAAAGTTGATCAAGTGTGTGGAGATGGTTTTGAAAGATATTGTTTTAACATAGGAAACAGGACAAAATATACAGGGTGACAATTTGAAAACTTACCATCCCTCATATCTTAGTAAATAAACGAGATATTAAAAAAAATCAAAATCCGTTTCGGTAATTCGGAGGGGGAATCACAATGACATAGTTGGCGACGCACCCCCTCCAACCCCCTGCGCCCCAGCCACCCCCACTTTTAAATCTTAAATAGTGACCCCCCATGTGTGATACGTCGTTGGAAAGCTCTGACAAAATGCTTTGCAACCATACCAAAAGGTTCGCCAAGAGTTTGAGAATAGATTATAACTGGCGATCAAAAATGAGTTGCTGTCGAGTCGGCTTTGGAAGTTCAAGTTAAATACGATTTTCCATGTTTATTTTTTGATTTGCACGATAATTACTAACCTAAATGTAATACTATTTGGTATGGTTGGAAAGCATTTTTTCAGAGCTTTCCAACGACGTATCACACATGGGGAGTCACTATTTAAGATTTAAAAGTTGGGGTGGCTAGGGCGCAGGGGGTGTGCGTCGCCAACTATGTCATTGTGATTCCCCTTCCGAATTACCGAAACGGATTTTGATTTTTTTAAATATCTCGTTTATTTACTAAGATATGGGGGGTGGTAAGTTTTCAAATTGTCACCCTGTATGTATTTGTATCATAAGTGCAATATGATCTCTTAATCATTTTCCTCTGTTTAGTCGTCTTTTCCAAGCAACAGGTACCTAATAGTCTTTATTGCAATTATTTAAAAAAAAGATGGATTTAAAGTCTTCTTAAAGAGCGTTAAGGTTTTAAATCCGGCATTATTGGATAAAATCGAATCAATTACGGATGATTGCTTAATAGAATCCAAGGCGAAAGAAGATGATGTAATTAAGATGCTTAATTAAGGAGAACTTAGTGGCAGTCGAGAGGCGAAATGTGTTCTCAAATGTATCTACATAACATTGGGTGTAATAGAGATGACGGGGGTGAAATTCAGGAAAACGGAATAAAAGAGCAAATTCCCTCCGGATTTGATCAAGCGAAGGCTAGCGCTCATATCGAAAAATGTAAGGGAGATTCGCGCAGGAGATCCTTGCGAGACGGTGGCGGCGTTCGGGGTAGGGAAGATTTGTGGGAACATTAATATAGTGATTTTGAAATGATTTCGCATAGCAGCATTCTGTATATCCTAGTAATAATAAAAAGCACATTCTTTATTCACTTACTAGGTATACTTTCTTTCTGAAACAGCTTTAGCAGTACGAATACCCCAAAAGTCGGGTTTAAATGTAACGGTGTTACTGAAATAAAAGCTGTAAAAATGTGTTAAGCTTCACTGGCGGAAGTCGACGCGTAAATTCGGACTTTCATTTAGTGGAGATATGCGTACGAAAGCAAATTGCACGCGTCCTTTTTGGTTTCATATAAGGTTGATTGCCCCTACTAAAAGTTTTGTTTTTTTATAACAAACACAGTAAACGTAGATAAGTACGTTTAACACCAAGGCGTCAGTTTGTTACCTGAAACGAAGTTGAGTACCTACACTATTTTTGTACTCCGGTACTCAGCATCAATTTCAATTTTAAGGCCAAATTTAAATGAATTTTGTTTTATGTAGTAAACATTTTTGCGGTAAAATCTATAACAATAATTAAGACTCTTGAGTAAAACGACTGTGCGGAAATGTTAATTGAAAACGTTGCGGATTTTTCTATTGAATAATAAATAATAACAGAGCGGCAACATGAAAGAATCATCGGCATGCTACATTAAAAACTATGGACCTTGGCATTTTACAAATTACTGAACGCATTATTAACGAGCTCCTAGCGAGTTTAATTTTGTGGTGTCTGTCCGTCTGTCCGTCCGTTATCACGATAACTCAAACGAATGGATCGATTAGGATGATGTAGGCGGATTCTTTATCAAATTTGTAGATCGGAGTTCGTGAATTGGCAATGTAGCCCAAAAAGTAAGGAAGGCCCTTTTGACATCTCCGCGAGTTATGAATCGAATTGCATGAAATTCAAAATGTGTATAGCTTTAGCCATATAAATCGAAATTCCAAAAATTGCACCTAATCGATCAACATTCACAGTGCCTTGTTCGCATCTCGACCATTTACAAACCGGATTGCAAACTTTCTTATTTATGAAGGTATTTAAATGAAATTTGATGCATAGCCACTTGGAATAAAAGCAAATATAACGCCAGTTTCAAAATTTCGTTTTGCGCATGCGCAGTGCCAACTTTCTTATTTATAGAGGGATTTAAATGAAATTTGATACATAGCCACTTGGAATAAAAGCAAATGTAGCGCCATTTTCCAAATTTGGTTTTGTGCAGGATGTGCAGTGCCAACTTTCTTATTTATGCAAGCAATTAAATGAAATTTCATGCATGTACACTTTAAATAATGGTACAACTAACGTCAGGTTTAAAATTTGGTTTTGCACATGCTATAGCTATACCCAGGAGCTCGATTTCTATATTTGTTTAGTTTATTTATTACTTGGAGCTATAAAAATCTATTTCAAGTCCCTAGGTGCATGTCTTTTTATTTGCTTATTTATTCAATCTTTGACAATTAGTACATTGGGTTTTTTTTAATAAGAGCGAATATCCAGTTTACAAGGTTATTGGAAGTCTTCACAGCATTTTGCTAAATTAAAAGCTGCTTCGCAAAGATCATCAGTTGTCTGCTTTGCACACTTCTCCACGATCTGGTCTTTTTTGCTATCGGCGTAAGTAAGCGGCAACGAGACCTTTAAAGCAACATCGTCAATTTCACCATCGGCATTCATGATTCCAGTTTTTTCCAGGATACATTTTACATAGCATTTTATATCATCGCTGATCTCTGAACTGTCGCTGAATATATCTTCCAAGTCGTCGCTTTGGAGATTGTTGAGTTTGACACACTCATCGGCACTTTCCACCACTTTCTGAAAAAACTCCGGATTCGCGTCTTGATCCGTCTTTAATGATTAAGTTTTGCAATGAAAAGTGTTCATTTTACCATGGATTAGTGTACTTACGATTTGTTGTGACATCGATATTAAGCAGGAACATACTATGATAACGTACTTCATTGTGCTGTTCACGTAGAATACAACTGGAATGAAATGAGATTCGCCCTATATATAGGGATTTAACACAGATTTTACCGGAAATGGAATTCAATTTAAATTTAATACACAATTAGGTATGAAAATTAAGTGCAAGGTAATCACAATTTTTATTACCCGTTACTGTTGCGTGATTAAATTATAGGCTAATTTTATGTGATCATCTAGCTAAATTTATTTGCTGTAATATATTGTTGTTATGTATGCTAAATTAATTTTTCTAATTACATTTTTTCTTTGATAATGTCGACAATTGGGACTAAAGAACTCTCTGACAGAATACATTGATTCTTCAGTCTGTGATGCAACATGGACGACTACGGACTATTGCATGCAATTCCGATCACCAATATATCTTTGCAATAAGAATACCTATCGTATATTAGACACCGTATATGATTTAGGGAACATAGGCAGTTCTGTACTTTGATACAGGGCAACTGCGCTACAGCAACGACACTGCCGCTTAAATACACACTGCAGAACAAGCTGAAACGTGAAGTCCTTTTGGCTAAAAAAGCAAGTTTATGGAATCATACTTTCTATACCTATGTGTGCATTTAAGAAATTTTTGAGTTTACTTGGATTTTTGGATCGTCTCGATTTACAATTGGGATATCGCTCTTAGCAAAATACCCGATGCAATAATACTTGCAGGATGTGGCGGTACCGCTCCGTTGCCGAGTCATATGGTCAAACCGAGGTGCAAACCAAAAAAAGTACATGTTTTTCGTTTCTCAAAAGTTTAGCACAAAAACGTCATACTAAATAACGCAAAATAACGTTTTTCGGCAGATAACCTAAATGCACAGAATACGGCCTTCTCAGAATAGAAACAGCAATGTTACAAATTTGTATGGTATTTTGGCGTACCCTGGTGGGTGTACTGTGAACTAAAGCATCAAAATCAGAGTAGCGCCATCTGGTGACCAGCTTCTAAATCCATAATTTCCCCAATTCGATCTAAATCACAAATATAGATAAAGAATACACAGTTGTTAAATTGCAAGTATATTTAGATACAATCACATTACATTATTTAACACAGACATCTTAAATTACATGTTTACAAATTACATATAAAACTCAGAAGTAAGTGCAACTTACGCTTTGTAGAAGTGAACACTTTGCAAAAAGATCCTTACGTAACTAGTTGTCCTACGAAATATTTGGTTTTAATTGCTGTTTGGACTAAATGTTTGTTAAAAAATATCTTTAGAACTAAATTTTTTGTTCCAAGAGGTGATAAAACCGTTTCAGCAAATTGTCACACAAGTTTTCGACAACAAATGTTAACTTGATCGTGGTGCTTACTGGTTACTTGAGAAGCGAGAGTGGAAGTTGTTGAATTATCTAAAACGAATTACAATATAAGTATCTACATCTATATGAATATAAAACTCAAGTCTACACCCTTTTGCGCCTATAGGTACAGTTGGTAATAATTCTGCGTCAATTTGTACCTGTTACTTACCTTGCATAAATAGGAAAGAAATAACAGCACATTTCAACCCTCTTCGCGTTTCAAGCACAAAACAACCTGTTTCAAAATGTGGGAAACGATGCCTTTTTGATATTTTATTGTTACAATCCGCCACACAACACTTTTTACGGTCACATAACTTGTTCATATTTTAAATCTTTCAAAAGTCAAAATTGACATGTGGAAAACCTGTGTACGTATAAAATCGACGGTAAAAATATTTCCTGTAACGAGATTTGAGTCTGAGATAAATAGTTCTCCGTACAACCACGGGAAACGCTGTAATCAGTGACAATTTAGCGCCATTTATGTTTCTGTTCTGTGAAGGTCTTATTCTGTGCCTAAATGTTAAGTTTGACGTTTCTGATACTTCACGAACGCTTTGATTTGCGGGAATACTCGCGGGAATATGAAACATTTATCAAAACCCGCTATTTGAAAGTAAGGTAGGTACGTTTTCGTTTTCTCGAAACGATAACTTTACGCCCGTAAAAAGTATAAGTAAACGAAACGCTTAATTAAACAAAAATGTCAAGCCGAATATGTTAAATTGCCTATCTAATTACCGTCCAAGGATTTTTTTTAAATATATTGCCCAAATTCATTGCCTGTTCACGTACCTGTAATTTACAATAATAATACATAACGAAATAATTGTTTGAATTTAAATTAATAAATTACGTAAACCTATGTTGTGCCAATAATTAGTATAATGAAGGAAGTATGATCAATTAGTATAATAAGTAGATACCTACGTTGAATGTTAACTGTTGTATTAGTATATTTCTATTAGTTTTTAACCATCGATAACACAGAGACATATTTTTCTCAGATTATACGTACACTTTTTGTTTATTTAAAACAAATAATAAGGAATTGAATACGAATCACTATTGTATTTGCTATTACTCATGTAATCATAATTCATAAAATCATAAATTTTTAATAATCGCGTGGTTCCCGTTCAACTGAGCTATGTCCTGCTCATCGTAGGTCCTGCTGTTTAGAATTACTACCGGGCCACAACTTCCAATGGGGACAACATTCATTCACTTTAAAGTTTTGTGATAAAACCCACTATAGTAACAAGAGAGCTCAAATTTTTAGCTTGCTAGAAGATGGCTTTTTCATTTTAGAATATTGCAAATCGCAAATCACCGGAACCAATTAACTATCATGTGCTGTTATTAGTCTGATATGAATTGCAGGTCGTTTGGTACACAATACCTCAAATAGTGGAATCAATCCCACGAAGAATCGCAAGGTGCGAAACCAATAATGCAATAAGCAAGACCGCTCGCAAAAATACCAGTACTATAAACTAGGAGAATGCCATGCCATGGATGTCCCAAACTCGTGACATTTTAGCAGGTAGTTGTTTGTTACAAACGCCTACATTTTCGCAAACCTGTAAACTCTCTTTATTGGAAAGAAATTAAAAAAAAAAACTCCACGAATACATCTTGCACTCCATTCCCTTCGGTGGGGAATCAATTATGTTAAATAAAATTAAATGTATATGTATTAAGGGCATAAAGTGATGTTTATATTCTCGACGGAGACGAGTTAAAAAGCTCGAGGGCCGATAGTAAGACATAAACAAGTATAAATTGTGCATTAGAATAAGAGGTCGAGGAGGAGTGCTATGGTTGGTAGAAATTAATTCCTTTCGTTGACCCCTTCGGGCTCTCGTGACTATTGCCTGGCAACAAGTTTTCTAAAACCTGTTAAATTATTTTCAACTTATGCTCACTCTCTTGTGATATTATTACAGAAAATAAGGTGCAAGTACCTTCTGATCGGGACCTTTTATGTATCTGAACGCCTTTAGCGATGACTAATAAAACTCAGAACATTTTGTCTTACAAGAAAGTAACAGCGTTCTTTAATTTCAGAATATCTACCTCATCATGTCCATGGATTCGGATCATCAAAACAAAAGACTAAATTTAGAAAAGGCAACGAACTTTATGAAACAGTATCGCGATCCTGAGTCTAAGGAGTTGAAGAAGTTGTCAGCCAATCAATTCATGGAGGTGTGGAGTCACTATGATAGGGATGGTAAGTAGATGTTCCTAATATTGCAATGCATTTCTCTTTCAATTAATCATATACTTAAGTATCGTACTGACGCTAAATTGAAATGTTCTTCCTGTAGTATTCCACTGAATTGCGTTATAATTACAAAATATACTTTATTAAGGGTCCTCAGAGCCTTTATAGTTTTGTATTGTTGTCCGTCCGTCCGTATGCGCTATAACTCTTTTTAAAAGTCGAAATTTGGCGTACGGGTACTTTGGGCATTAAGATAAGACGCTATTGATTTTCAGGAAACTGGCTCAATAAGAACAAATGGACTTCGAGTGACTCGGAAACAGGAAAAACTGTGGGCTCAAAATAATAGAAATCAACATATTTCATTCCCTAGGTCATGTATCGAGTTAGGACTTTCGATAGATTATTCCCCATGACTCTTATATGTGTAACAATTCAATATAACTCCTCTCTGTGGTCTAGATCACAAGTTTCAGAACAAAATGTATCCAAAATTATCTTTTTCACATGAATTTATTTACCCAAGTATACCCGGTTCATACTATAATACTGAGGATCCTTCTATATTTCTTGATAAGTTGACATTGTCCGCATCACTTTTATTTCTCAAAATATCACCGAAAAACATCTAAAACCTGCAATTTAGAATACCCTGTACACAGACGGGCGGACAGAAAGTCCAAATGACCAAAATTTAATCACTTAGTCCGTTGACCTATTACTGAAAAGAGAATTGGAAAATTCGAAACCGTTCGTAATATACATAGAAAGGAAGAGTCTGTCCGTCGGTGTACATGAAAACTCGCGAACTCCTGACAGTGACACACGAGCTCCTGTCCTTCTGTCCGTCTGTAACAAATATAGCAAACGAGCAAAGTACATTATTACTTCTAATATCGCTAGAATGAGAAGTAACGCGATCTTTCAGGCCTCTTTTAATTTGCAAATTGCAATATATTGCGGTGCGATTATTCTGCATACACATAGCTTACAAAACATACTACCCATTATACATGCATACATAATAAATATGTAGAAGACCATAATTACTTGTTATCAAATTGTTATGAAAATTAAAAATAGTAAAGGTCCCAGAATGGATCCCTGCGGTACATCTTTTTGGAATGTGAGAAATTTGAATTGAGCCTCATTTACTTTTACAGCCTGCATCATGTTACCCAAATATGATTTAATTAACACACTGATTGTGTTGAAATTATAAATAGCTACTAATTTTTGTATTAATATATCGTGTGCCACGTTATCAAAAGCTCGAGTGAGCCCTATACAAATGGCTACGGAGTAAGAACACACGATGCTGTCTTCCCCAATTAAATTTATATTTCTGCTATGGTATTACAGTTGTTGCAGATTAAGATGTACAATGGCTGACATATGTTTCGGTTTGATTATCAGCAGACCATTATCAAAGCAAAAACTACAAGAATACAATAATTAAACGGTTATTATAAAATTGGAAAATTAATTACTTATTAAACGACGACAAATTAACAATAGTAATTAAACTAAACGGCAAAAGCCGGAGTTAAAGTCAAAAAACTAGGACGCTGAAGACCATGTCTGCTAGTCCGCATTAGGGAAACCCATGTCCATAAGTTAACATGTAGTCAATGACGTTGAAACATAATTAAGGACAAAAAGCCGGGATGAGCCAAACTATTGACGCTTAAGGCATGTCACACAGCCGCAGTTGTCTGAATCTAAAAAGGTTTACATTAAAAATAAGTAACTAACATTAATTAACTTACCTACTATAAAACGAACGCTAGCCAATAACGGCGGACAATCTCCCACTTGTTCATTTAAAAGTTTAACGGCGGGATTTTTCAAATATGGAGTATTGACCATTTTCATAGCACTTCAAAGAGTAATTTACAAAGCTAATAACTGCATCCATGGTACTTTTGTTTTTTCTAAACCCAAATTAGCTTTCATCAAAGATCTGTCTTTGTTCAAAATAGAAATTTTCCTAAACATGACTAGTTGAAAAACTTGAAACTTGAATATAGGTAATATAGAGATCGCCCTATAATTTTTGGGACCATCCCTGTCACCGCTCTTATATAATGGCGTAACCACTGGAATTTTTAGCTTATTTGGAAACACTCCCTCCCTGAGAGATACCAGTTTGCTTAACGGTTCTACAAACAAGGTAATGTTTTTCTTTATTACCTGTGTACTAGCCCTGTACACATCCTTCGATTCTTAGAGACACAATTACATCTCTAACTTTGATTTTTTAAGCTATTTTTCCCAAATTTTCCATAGTAATAAGTTAAAATTAATTAATTACTTCTTATTCATTTAAATGTTATACTGATGAACGTCGAAACCTTGAACAATATACCTAAGCCGATTTCAAAAGCAGTCAGACTGCATCCCTGCCATTTCCACCTATTTTTTAATATCTATATATATAACAAAACAAAATATCATGAGAGTTCAATGATTTTTTCACAATTTCCTGGTAGGTTGAAAAACATCGTTGAATTTCCCATGACATTTTGAGCAGGAGATATTTATTAACAAGTTAAAAAGTAATCGTAAACGATTTACATAAAGCGCATTTCCACTTGCATTCATTTCCCATTTGTAAGATGCAACTTCTGTTAAAATCGTAAAAATCCGGCCACAAATAGGAAAGATAGCGTTGCACATGGGCAATCCATTGTTGACGTGCTACTTCAATTTCAGTTTATGAGAAGAATTTCATTTCAATGCTTTTCTAAATAAGAAAGTTGGAACTGCGCATGCGCAAACCTAAGATTTTCCTTTGTTCCAAGCGCCTAAGTATCAAATTTCACTTAAATAGTTCCATAGATAAAAAAGTTGGCACGGCGCATGCGCAAAATAAAATTTTGAAATTGGCGTTTGATTTTCCTTTATTCGAAGTGCTTCTGTATCAAATTTCGTTTAAATTCTTCCATAAATAAAAAAGTTGGCACTGCGCATGCGCAAAACCAAATTTTGAAATTGGCTTTTGATTTTCCTTTATCCCAAGTGCCTATGTATCAAATTTCGTTTAAATTCTTCCATAAATAAAAAAGTTGGCACTGCGCATGCGCAAATCCAAATTTTGAAATTGGCGTTTGATTTTCCTTTATTCCAAGTGCCTATGTATCAAATTTCATTCAAATACTTTTATAAGTAAAAAAGTTTGCAATTCGGTTTATAAAATGGTCGAGATGCGAAAAGGGCACTGTGAATTTTGAATCGATTCGATCCAACTTTTGGCATTGCGTATTATATGGCTAAATCTATGCCCATATTGAATTTCATGCAATTCAGTTTCATAACTAACGGAGATGTAAAAGCGATCGAACATTTCTAAACAAAGTTATCGTTCACACGGACAGATAGATGGACAGACAGACAAAGGAACAGACGGAGAGACCAACCGGCAGGCGACAGATAGCAATGCAAATTTATAAACGATCTCTAGGATCGTTAATAAACGGCAAAAGTGTAAAATTATGGAACATGTAAAAAACGGTTTTTTGTTTTTTTTACAATAACTTTTTTGTAAGCGGTACAGAAAAAATTCCTTCCTTGGTACAAGACTAGACACCATAACGAACCAAATAGCGAAAAAAGTAGAACAATAGCTCTTAAGATAAAAAAACTAGTAGCGTCGCAAAGTTAGCGGACGGACGGACGGACGGACAAAGTGGCCACAATAGCGCATTTTTTTTTTGTGGAAATGCGCTAAAAAATGATTCTTGTGATGAATTCCTTTACGCCACGGCGACTTTGAAAGATGTAACTTTCTAGGAAAACAAGTGGAGTACTTTTTTGGATCTTAAAATGTCATATACAATTTATTTCAGGACACCTAAACAATAATCTCCCATATTAATAATGCTAGATAGTTTCCGTTTAACATAGCAACAGTGAAAAGCACTTTAATTCTAAAAGGAACGCTTCTCTGTATTGCAGGAAATGGATACATTGAGGGATCGGAATTGGATGGATTTTTGAGAGAGTTTGTTTCTAGTGCAAATATGACTGATATCGCACCCGAGGTTTGTGTTTATTTACTTACGCAAGTGAAATAAGTATTTTCCTTAACTTTAGTATTGTCATTAAAGTCAACGCAGCACGCAAAAAGGAAATTCCGTAGGCATAGTCGCGATAACGCTGGAAAACCTAGAAAAAACGGTACTTTCTCCACCGGTTTTCTTATGTTTTCAGCATTTTCGCGACTATCTCGGTGAAATTTTCTTTTTCAGCTTTATTATTGCTTCCTCTACCTTTCCTATTTTATATCGTTTTCTTGTACTGTAGCAATATTGTTGTCATTAAACTTGTATCTCCAGTTTCCCTTCAGGTGTTATTCAAAGTAACTCAAACAGTTTTCCTAAACAAAAATAAGATTTGGTTAATTATTCTGTCTAACCCGTTATCAATTTTCTATAAAGGATTTAATTTAAAGTAATTAAAAAGAAATGGAAACACTGTATTGGTGTCTTTAGTAGACTTGGATCATATACCTAGTATTCTACCATTTTCAAGTAAGTAAACCCGTAATGCTCATGATGAGATACACGATGAAAAACAACCAATGAATATGAACCACTTGAGGTCATTTTACCATTTCAAGGTAGATAGATTAGGTCACAATATGCAAGATCCCACCCCTACTTCCCTTATTTTGTCTTGAAATATATGGGGATATTCATCGATATTTGTTGATTGCACCTTATATATGTAATTACGGAAATGAGACTCCTTGAATGAACACTGAAGGTTGAGACAGATTGCATCAATAGCTATTGGTGTAATAGTACCACTTTTTGCCAAATGACTGCGTCTTATAATGAATGTTTCCAGGCCGTATCTGATGAAATGCTAACTGAACTGAAAGCTTGCTTTATGGAAGCGTACGATGACAATCAAGATGGAAAGATAGATATAAGGGAGGTGAAGTATCTGTTGCTGTTTTGTATTGTTTTACTTATATTGTTATAATTACAGCTTGCCCAGTTGTTACCGATGGAAGAGAACTTCTTACTCCTTTTCCGATTTGATAATCCATTGGAATCGAGCGTTGAGTTCATGAAAGTAACAGTGCAATTAAACGAAGTTGGCTATATTACTTATTAATTTCAGATTTGGAGAGAATACGATACTGATGGGAGTGGGTACATAGAGGCTGATGAGTTGAAGGTAAGTTTAAAGGCAGCCGTTTCTTCACGTCGCCTTTGTTTAATTGAAAATTTATTTATAGAACTTTTTGCGAGATTTACTTAAAGAAGCCAAGAAGATTAACGACGTTTCCGAAGATAAACTAATTGAGTACACAGATACTATGGTAATTAAGTGTCGTAGTACAGAAAAGTTCACTTAACTTTTAATGTGTTATAGCTTCAAGTATTTGACTCGAATAAAGATGGCAGACTTCAGCTTTCAGAAATGGCCAAGTACTGACTATATCCTTAAATAAGTGATTTTTTATAATTGTTCACGTTTTTAGATTACTTCCTGTTAGAGAGAACTTCTTATGCAGGCAGGTCTTCAAGGTGAGTGAGGTACAGATCAATTTCTTTTTAAACTGTGTCAAACACAAAAGTGTGATGTAAACACAAACGTGATGGATTGTCCATGTTGTTTGTTTAGACACAGTTCGTCAAAATTGTTATTTACAGCATCAAATATAAAAGTAACATGATAATTATCTAAAAACACATTTGCGTGCATGTTTAGGTACATTAGGAACTGCTAAATGTGAATGCCCGTAGAGAATCCAGAAACTATTATCTAGAACTTGTTCACTACTTACTTCTCCATATTATAATTATTTAATGTTATAAAAAGCGACAAACAATGCTTCCCAAACACTTTTCGATGTTAGAGAAATAGTTAGCTACTAAGTCAAACCATTGAATAAAAACACTTTTATTCAATGGTCAAACTTAATTAGTCAGGTTAACGTTAGGCTAGTGACGATAAAACAACTTTGTAACAAATATTCAACTAAATTTTCGACGCCAGTCAACTCAAATTACGTATATGAAATAATTTTGTTCTATACATATTAATTCGGGAGTATCCTGGGGAGTATTAAAATGGTTGGATTGATAGGTATGAAATAAGTAATTAAAGTTTTTTCTTGAGGTTATCGGTTTAGCTACATTTATTATAGCATCTTCGGACCTTTGCTGTAATATAAGTACCTATATATGATTCATATGTACTTATATTACAGCAAAGGTCCGAAAATGCTATAATAAATGTAGCGAAATCGATACCCTTAGGAAAAACTTTAATTACTTATTTCATACCTATCAATCCAATTAAGAAAAGTAATTACAATGGAGACATACATCAATAAAATATTAAAATGGTTTAAGTTTGTGACAACACTTACTTACTTTTTTTGATTTCATTTTACTTCGCCCTTAATTTTTTAAGTCTGCTAATACACTTACACAGTCCGAGCCGGGATTCGAACCAGAGACCCTCACTGTCGTAGTCAAGCAGCCACTCCACTACGCCATGTAAGCAGATAAAATAAGTCGAGTAAATTAGTGAATTGCTTAGGTAATAATCGTGAGAAGTTTATACCAAAATAACATTATATTCGTCATTAATATAGGACAAGTCGCGATAGTCAGTCTTCAATTGGTATTCCGTGTGCAACTTTGTGAAGCAATATCATGCAATATATCCGTAAAAATGTGTAGATTACGGATATCCATGGGGCGTACCTCTCAGGGCTGGCCGAAAGGAGAAAACAACCCCTATACAAAAATACATGTTACGATAAAAAAAATAGCTAAAAATATTTTCCAAATGTATGTATTTGCTTGAATCTGTGTGGAGCAAACCTGTAAGGAGTACCGGAAGGGAGAAAACTACCCTTAAACAACCCCTATCGAAAAATAAATGTTGCTACTTATAAATATTTTTCAAAATGTATTTATTCGATTGTATCTCTTAAGGGGCGTACCTCTAAGAAGTGGCGGAATGGAGAAAACTACCCTTAAACAACTTTAAACAGCCCCTATATAAAAATAATGATGGAAAATAGCCGAAACTATTTTATAAAATGTATTTGTCTGCTAGATTGTCTATAAGGGGTACCAATAGAGGGTGGCTGAAGAGAGAAAGAAGAAAGGGATGGATAAAAGAAGAAAAGAATGCTTTATATTTATATTATATTTGCATAGTTTTAACGTAACAAAGTTGCCATTTACAGCTATTTTTATTCTAAAAATGGATTTATTACTCGTTATCGAAATTGCTAACCAATGCATCGTCAGAATCAGTAGTTTTTTTATCTATTTCAATGTTTGAACAGAATTCGGGATCAGCCTCACATTCGCACATTTCCGTACAACCCATTTTTTTGGGTTAAACATTTGCACCTTCGAGTACAATTATTTTTTTTACAAGAACATTTTAAAACATTTAGTAGTTCTTCGGGTGCGCAAGGAAGAGTATACATAATGGGTTCAAATTTTTCGTTTTCTAATTTCCAACCGTATTCCGTTGGTGGCGGTAAATTCGGCTGAGCATTGAGTAATTAAATATTCACTCAACGGGCTGAGTCTGTGTATCCCGATTCCATTCAATACATTGGTAGTGACATCTTTGTATTGCCGATTTTAACGCTGCTTGAGTTGGAAGCATATTATGATCAGTGGAAACTTGACTTTGTGCAAACAACCACCATCTTAGTTCTGCTGGACTTTTAAAATATTTTTTTGATGCTGAATATAAAGAACAGACAAAAGCCTCGATCTGCTCAAAATCAGAGTCACTTAGTGTTTCGTTTTTACCTAAAGAATCCAATGCCTGAAGTGTAGATGAAGTTTCTTCTAAGAACTTTTTCCAAAAACTAATTTTAGCTTTGCCCTTAAAACCCCCTGTTACATCTGATCCTGAAAGGGCATGAAGACCTGGAAGTGCTGCAGCTTTGAGTGGACCAAGAGCTTCCTACATTGGTTGTAAAGGCATTTCACGACTGCTCTGGCTAGAACCAATACATATAAACATGGAGCTCGTCTTACAGCCAATAACAAAACATCGGTATCTGGCGAAAGAGTTCTTACTGCCTTTGCTCCCCTTTCAGATGCATCTAAAGAACGAAGAATCATTCTGGTATCGACTTCTTAGTGTGAACTCTTTAAGTGGTTCATATCGCCTCATATCACAGTACAAAGCACCGTATTTTTATAAGAACAAACGATCTTTTTATTACACCTATTCCCTAAAGCAATAAGATTTTTTGAAAAATACCGAGTTACATCGTCTTTTGTGAAGGTGTGAGACAAAAGCTTTTTAATGGTTGTATTTTATATCGGTTTTTCGTCAACATGGTAACGTTATAGGGTCTGTACCATTTTGCCTTCTGGTTCTTGCCGATGAGTTAAGCGAGCCTATAACATAATTATTAAAAATAACGTGTATTTCTGAATATGAAGCATATTTTTTTAACATTTTATTTGAAAACTGCTCAGATAGGTCAGAAAGGTAGATGCTGAAACCACTATTTACAAAAGGCGAAGATAACGATTGTCCCAGAAAATGCCCACCTATTTTTGAACGCGTTACGGGTAATTTAGGGTAAGTAATTTATATTTTTTATATATTAAACCTATTAGGTGTTTATATTATTATGAATCTACAAACAATTTTCTAGTACTTAGGTAAAGGGGGTTGCAACCCCTATCTTATACTTCTTAGTAGTAAGTACTATTACAGAACATAAACAAAATTAACATTAATATCAAACTTGACGTCAAATTATATTTAAGCAAAATTATACATACACTATTAAAAATTACAACCCTTCAGGTAGTGATGGGTCTTCCTAATATTAATTTTTTAGTAAAACACTGTATTTTTTATTATCTGAAGTAACCATTAGTCAATTTAACCCACAAAATGCAATTATTTAATAATATATTGAAAAGGACGGTTTGAGGGTAGTTTCCACCCCTCTGCGACCTTTGCGAGATGCGCCCCATAGAAATTCGTATTCTACACGTTTTTCCGAGTATTTTGATGTACGCATAATATTGCTTCACTTATTTGCACACGGGATCTAATTTTTGTACAATTCAACACTGACTACGAGTACTTACCTTACCTATGTATATACTTTCGCTGTAACGTTTCTACCTGTGTGTTTTTAATTGATCTAGCAGGCGCTGGATGGACCTTGAGATTTGAACCGAAAATTCATCAGTAGTTGATTATTTATTTTCGAAAAAATCAAACCGCTTTTAATTTTTTATTGTCAACACTCAAATACAAATTTTCCAAAAAGATGCCAAGTTACTTGTACGAAATCCAATTCAATTCCACCTGAATCTACTCGTATCGTCAACCACTTATAGAATGGATAATGCTGGTAAAAAAGTTTTTTCCCGGGAAAAAAACTTTTAAAAATTTTTTTTTAAAATTTTTCACCAAGGGGTTGAATCGGTTAAATCGCTTCGAAAAATATTTCTACTTATAGAATCAAGAACAACCAAAGGCCGCGGATAAATAAATTCCCAGGATGAAGATCGTTTGCATCAGAGATAAGATTAACGAATTTTGAACACATTGAATTTTTACTGGCATAAAAAGAATGACAAAATATCCTGAATCTGCTTCTAAGTGATTTGAAATTTAATTCAAGTATGTCTTAAGAAAATGAAGAACCTTGTCAATTTGAAACGTTTTCAAGTATACATTTCATAGTCGTGCTTTTACCTTTGGATTGGTAGAAGCAGTACAGAGAAATCGAACAAGTAATTTGTAGTG